TGCCTACCATATGAGAAAAATCTACCTTTTGTGAACAGGTTTGCCGCGTCGACAAACCCAAACACGGCGAGCAGCTCCGGGGTAACCAGCGCTTCTAGATCTACTAAATTTTTGCGCCTCGCGTGCTCTAGCAGCCGGTTTTTGAGGTCTATGTCCCGTGGCAGCAGCTGGGGATAATTTACATGCGCGTGTGGTGTACGCCAGTCCGACAGACGGGCAGCGAGGTCGTTGCTGACCCTCTCTGTTCGCGTGTCGCGAACAAAAATGAACTGCCTTTTCCACCGCGCCACTTTATTCCTCACGTTCTTGAAGAGCTGGCTCTTATCCCTCCCAGAGAGGTAGTACCATCTCGCCCCTCCTGAGTTTGGACACAGCCGACACTGGAACAGCAACCTGAACACTATCGCCTTGGCCGGTACCTCCAGTCTTGCACACAACAGCATAAAGCCCACGATGAACCTTATGCTGTTGGGCGTCAGCTGCGTCAGAGCCAGCTTGTAGTCGGCCAGCAGGTCGAACACCAGCCCGGGTAGTGGAAATCGCAGACCGGCGTCAAAATGATCTGCATATACGGGTATCCAGCCCGTCCGCGACACCGAGCAAGCCCTCTCGTTCTGCCCGCCAGTTCGCACCAATATAGTCCTCGGGATGTGGTACTCCTGTATCATCTCCTCCAGCCTTCTATACCCACTTATTGAGGGCGCGCAGTCCGCTACTTCGTGATGAAGTGACGCCCTGAATTTAAACCCGGCTGGCAGATCCTTGGGAGCTTTGCGTATGTTGCTCAGTCTGCCCGGGAGTACCCTATCCTCCCATTCCCCAGCCACGGGCACACCTTGTTCGATACCACCCACGTTCTCCGGTTCTGGCTCATGATTCCCAAGGGACGAGCTGCTGGACGGTGAATCGCGGTGGCCGTCGCTATTATCTCTGGCGTTTGAACTGGCGCTGCTCTCTGACGTTAAGATCTCCGGCAAATCCTGCAACTCCGGTGGTACTATCATCGCGATGGGTTCCGCGGCAATCACCACCTCTTCTTCTTCCCTACTCTAGTTACCCCGTAGCTCTCTCAATTCTCTAGAGAAATCCATTTTTACCTTTTGAATGATGGTGGATGCGGTGCAAAGTGATGACCTTATACTCTGTTCTTCAAAACCCAGATGTGGTGCTGCAGAGAAACTCGTTGAACTTACACAAGTAATGAAATGAAAATGGCAAAGGGAACGGTTACGAAAGAAACAAAACCAAAATGACCGTATTAAACGCAGTACGCGTGTCTCTGATGCGCCAATAGGCGTCTCACACGTGGTAGGCGTTTAACTGCCTTTTGCATAACGTGCGCCGCCTCTGGCTGTCACGTTCCTCAAACGCTGCGCCAGCATTTATGGCGAGGAAGATAAAGAGATACGGAAGAGCAAACGTATCTCCTCAGAGATCTGGTCAGATTCCGTTGGTTAAAAATCCCCAAGATTCAAATCGCCCAGGAATCAGGTCGCGCAAACGTATCTCCTCAGAGATTCGAAAATCCACTAGGACTCAGATCGTCACTGCCGATGTGTGCCCTATACCGTCACATCAGCTCGCCATTGCGAGCACACCTACCCAGCTCGCCATTCGGCTCAACCGTGACAATTCGCTCAACAGTGTGAATTTTTTCCTAAAGTCCCCCCATGATTCAGCTCGTCACACATCGTGACGACAACCACATTCGTCAGGTCGTCACACGGATTGCAGCTCGCCCAAATCAAGGGGTTCCCCAGGTCGCCCTATTGGACAACACCACTCGTGCGTGCTGATAAAGTGTAGTCAAAAATCTCAAGTCGCACTGAATATGAGGTCGTGTCGCCTCACCTCGTGATCATAGCTAATTGAGCGTCACCTGGTCGCACGTCGGTAGTACTCAAAGGTCATATCGTCATAGGGACGAGCTGATCGGGCGATGCATCACACGCAAGCTCGCTTGTTGCGAATCACTTTAGCTCGCCGCCATAACGAACTCACATTAATGTGGCTATGAATACCAGCTCGCCCACACGTTTTCAGGCTTGCGAGCTTGCCTCTTCTTCTTCTACCTTTCAACTCGGCCCTCGTCGAGGTCGGCCGCAAGCTGTCAAACCTGTTTGGAATAGGCCCCAGCCCAACACCCAAATAGTACGGGGCTACGGCCCAACAACGTTGGCTCATGGCTACAATCCATTCCAGTTCGTCAACCGAACGCTGGGGGGGGAGTAATGTTGGAATAGGCCCAGCCCAACACCCAAACAGTACGGGGCTACGCATAACGGGCCTAGGTTACCACCTGTTAGCCCAAGCTGAGGGAGCATGAATACAAGCATACCCACGTGACCAATGCCAAGTGGATCAATGGGAGGCTGACACGTGTAGATGTATGTCAGCACCAAGGGGCTATAAATACCCCCCAACTACCTTAATGAAGGTAATTAATCTCTACGCTTCTCTCTCTGCAATTACTCCTTGAGAGTCTCTCTCTTTAAAGTATTGAGTATTGCTGACTTGAGCATTGGAGTGTTTTCCCCGAGGAAACAACCTCGGGATTTTCAGGTGTAGAAGCAGCTGAGGACTTCAACAGTGTTGGACTGCGAAGCTGCCGAAACAGGTACAATGGAAGCAAAACTATAGCTTAATCATGGGGAACAGTGCTTCGAAAATGTCTCCATGCTGGATCAAATGAATACCAGTTGGTGGTTCTATGAAGATTGTTGTTCCCAGCGGAATTTCATGACCTAGGGATCGAAGCCATGAAGTCTGCAGCATATATAGTTCCCTTCTCTAAGCGTATGTAAAACAGTGCAAGTAGGCAATGAATCTAATAGAGTGAAGCTATCTATAAGCAAGGACGAAGCTGCGCCGTCAACCGGCTTGCAAGCCTTGATCATTTGAACTGCCATGAGGTTATCCATTTCCACAGTCAACTGTTGTAGTCCGAGGGATAAGGCCAGTTTCAAACCCTCTCGACAACCCCAAAGCTCAACTAAAATACTAGAAGTGAGTCCAATATTGGTGGTGAAACCTTGTACCTATTTGCCATTGTAATCTCTAATTAATGAGTCCACCAGCAGTTGCACGATCAGTAGCACGGTTCATACTTCATAGAGCCACCATGTATTAAGCTTCAAAGTGGGAAAAGGAGGAGGCAGCCATCTCACCCAACGTGGGATTCGAGCATGCAGAATTAGCTTAGTGCACAAGGCAAACTGCATATCTAAGGGATGAGAGCATGCAAGAGAGTAAACGACATTGGGAGGGATTCGTACCTCTTCAAAGATGAATTTTTTTCTACTCTTCCAAATACCCCAGATAGTAGATAGGAAAGAGCAGGACCAAGAGACTGTATGTGGTCTAGAGTTCCTCGAACCCCCAGCATTCTTCCTTATCCAATCATCAAGAGTAACAACGAAGAAATCTATTGACAACACTGAGCCAAAAGCCTCCCAAACTAATCTTGAATAGAAGCAATCTCATAAGAGGTGAATGGGATCCTAGCGAGGTAGACCTGGCAAATAGGTTGGATTGGGTGAGTTCGGATTGAGTCATCTTGGATCTCAAGTTTTATGAATTCAATCATTTCGGGTGTCAGGTTAGAGGTGTAGACCTATGACCAACTCACACAGGTCTTGGATTGGGTCGGGTGAGGACCCAACTTTTAAAAAATTAAAATTAAAATTTATTTTTTAATAGTTTTCTCTATTTTTTTAATAACATTTAATACTAATCAACTATTTAGTTAGAAAACTTTATTAAATGCTAATTTTATTTCATGATTCAATTTTTATTCCAATCTCATGAAAAGAAAATGGAAAGATTGCTAATTATATAGGTGGAATTAAAATATATGTCAAATATATAATGCCTATACAATATTTAAAATTCATAATTTCATAAAGGCACTAGCTATTATTAAAAGAAGAGACATAAAATTAACATTCATTAAAAGAAGAGACATGAAATATTAGAGTTTGAAAGACAAATCCAATATATATGTTAATATGTAATGTCTATTCAATATTTATAAGGGTATGTATTTTACAAAAAAATATAGTTCTATTCAATATTTAGAATGGTATTATATAAAAAATATAACTTTATTCAATATTAAAGTTCAAAAGGCAAATTTAAAATATGTTTAAACAAATAGAAGAAAAAATTGAATCAAAATTGATTTTTGTTAACTAGGAACAAATTATTAATTAAGAACAAATTAATAATTTAGAATAAATTATCAATTAAGAGCAAATTTTGATGCTCTTGATGTTCTTGTCATTATGCTTCTAATCACTAGCTTTTGATTTTCAATAAGCATTCTTGCTTTCCTCTTCTTTTTTTTTTTTAAAAAAGATTTTTTTGACAATATCATATGATACAATTCATTATATATCTCATAATTTGATTTTTTATGCAAGTGTCATCGAAAAGAAGCATTAAAGAGCTTGAACTAAAGAAGGAGAGAGCAAGAGTTGAAAAGAGGAAAAGTTTAGAGAAAGTGAAACTAACGGAAAGTTATGATTTATATATTTTATTTATTTTTATTTTTAAGATTAAAAAATTAAAAATTAAAAATTAATTTTTAAATAATTTAATAAAAAATAAATAAATAATAGTTCTTATCATTTTGAATGACTCGACATACTCGTGACCCAACTCATTTGGATTCGGATAATTTCAGTTCAAATCATTTGAGATTTTAAATTAATGCATAAGACTCATCACCCGATGCATAATGAATGGGTTGTGTCAGATTTTCGAATTGGATCCAATTTTACTAAATCTACAACGAGGGCACATAGGGGTGGGAGCAAAATGCCTTTCAAATCTTATGGAATTGGTAAGGACCCTACCACGCCTCAGCAGCCACGCAAACATTTCAATTCTTTCTGAGCAATCGAATTTCCAAATCTAGCGCCATAGAGATGGTTGAGGTGCTGGAGCAGAACGTTGTTGTTGGATCAATAAAAAAATAGATTTGGTTGAGAAAACCCCATTTGTGGTGGCATGCCAATAGATTCTATCCTCTAGCCCTTCAGAAATAGGAATAGGTATGGTTGCAATTTGATGTGAAATATCATTTGGCAGCCATTGGCTTAGACTTGATAGGTTCCATTCTTTTGAATCCAAGATAATATCAGCAAAGAAACCCGTGTGGCTTAAGTGGTCATTTAATTATTGGTTAAAAAGTATCTTACTTTGAGTGTGAGGTTTAATTTTCATCTTTTCTTGCATTTTTTCGTTGCTGTGGCAGTTGTTGTCCAAAAGGACAGTCAGTAGATTGCATCCTTATTCAGGTTCAATATCTCTTATTAATAATTTTAACCTTACTAATCTCTAATAATTGTCCTTGTCAAAAAAAAAAAAAAAAAATATCAGCAACTGACAAATCAAGGAATTCCAGAGAGACTTGAACTGATGTGCAGTCTATTAATTTCCTATCTCCAACCCAAATATCCTGCCACAAATTTATTTGAGCACCCGATCCAGCTTGCCATCTAGTACCAAGAAGTTTGCAACTCTGGTTGTCTATGAGTTGTTATTTTTTATGCAAGACATTGTACGGATTAGAGTACTATTTATATTTTAAATTTATATATTTTAAATTCATAAAAAAACAAATAAATAATTTATTAAATATATTTAAATAATTTTAAAAATATTTCTACACTTTTTTCTTAAATTTTTTTTTTTGTAAAAACTTTCTTCTTAAACTTATTTATTTATTTTTTTAATAAATACAATTTAAGGTAAAAGAATAAGAAAATTTTAACATGACAATATTATAATTTTAATTTTAATTTTTACTCAAATATTAAATACATTTATCAACCGACCTATGGAGACCTGCTGCTCTTATAAATTCGCTTAAGAAACACTTTTATCTCAGACGTAACTCAGGTCTGACTCATGCGCAAAGCAGGCCTATGCCGTTCGGATTTGTGTAGTACTGAAGTCAGCGTCAATGGGCGTCTGGAGTTCGGACTCATTGGTGCACCTGCAAAATTGGGGCAATATGAGATGGTAAAAACTTAGAACGTTTTGATATATAAAATATTATAAGTGGTAATAAAAAAATTTGTTTAAAAGTAAAAATCAAGTATACAGTAAATATATTTTTATAAGAAATTTATATAAAATATAAAAATTGATTTTTATTTAACAATATTATTGTTTGAATAATTTTAATTAATTAATTAAATTAAAAAAATATTTATATTTTTTATATAAATTAATTACAAAATATATATTACATCCTTGACTGTATCTAAAAAAATTTGAAACAATTACTGTAAATACTTTAAATGAATTAACAATTTAATAGATAAATAATTTTTAGTAAGAATATTTAAATAATTTTAAAATCAATACCACTAAAATGACTCTAGCCAAACATTTTTCTCGAATCATGATCACTAAAAAACTAAGAAACTTTACATTCAAGGCATGATTGGTCAAAGAATTAACTTTATCAAAAAAGTTTTCATTAAAAAAATAGTATATAAAAAGTTGATAAGTTTTATAATGAAATTTTATTAGAATTTTATTAGATTATTATTTTTTTATGTTTGCTAAGAAATTGGTATAAGAAAAGTTAGTAAAAAAGTTACCAAATAAATCATATATACGAAAAGTTGGGGGAAAAAAAGTTTACAAGTCACAAAAGTACTAGGTTATTTTAATGAAATTTGATTAGAATTTTCTTATATTATTAATTTTAGTGTGTTTGATAAGAAATTGCAAAACATAGAGATTAACCTCTCATCTTTTCAAGCGGTGGCAAATTACCCCGTCAATTGAATTCATGCACTAACTCACCCTCAAACTTAACATTGGTGGCAAAGTAGCTTTTGTCTAATGGATTATGTCAGCAATCCGTCCAGGTCTAACGATGGGCCAATTTATCTGGGCTCCACTTGCGAGCTGAGATTTTTTTGTTATGTCACTCCACATCAAATTTAAATTTAAAACAATAATGATTGAATTTCGTAAATTAACCTTCAAAATTCTTCAAATTTACGAAACATGCCCTTGACACCTCACCAAGGATCTTCTGCAAATTCTTATATATTAAATACAAATTCCTCATTAAGGAACAAGGAGCCAATAGTAGGAGTGAATTATAGCGATTTGATGCCCAAACCAACCAAATGATAAGCACAACTAATAAAATGGATAAATAACATAATAGAAAGAGAAACCAATACTAGATCTAGATAATAACAGAGTTTTTAAGAATAAATCCTCAATACCATTTAACAAAGAAATGAATAAAAACCTCATCAAAACTGTGGAGGAAATGCCCGATCAATGGCAGGGAATTGAAGAAAAAAATAACAAAAAAATCAATAGGGTAGATGACTTAACTTAATCAAGGAAGAAACTAACACTACTTTTTAATCCTCAAAGAAATGAATTTAATTAAAGATGTATAGAGATATCTCAACCCATTAAGATATAGAATAATCCATGCACTTAAATTTAGTACAGTCCGTTTAGTTAATTCATCAAACACTTGGTAGGCATAACTTTAAAAAAATTCTAATTTCTTATTCTTAACTTATCATAACCAAAAAATTTGACACAAATTTTCAACTGGCACAAAAATGAGAGCATTTTTTAATAAAATAACTCGTTAATCCCTTTAATATTAATGGGTAAAAATACATTTATCCGCTAATATAAATCATTTAAATTTGCTAACAATTTATCCTTGAACTAATATATATATATATAATGGTGGTGTTGAATTCCCTGTTAATTTGAATTTGAAGGGGCGAGAATTCTGAACAGACTTCTGCACCAGCTTGTAATCTC